ACTATCACCACTGCTATTCAACATAGTATTGGAAGTCCTAGCCACAGCAATCAGACAACAAAAAGAAATCAAAGGCATCCAAATCGGCAAAGAAGAAGTCAAACTCTCACTCTTTGCAGATGATATGATACTTTATGTGGAAAACCCAAAAGACTCCACCCCAAAACTGCTAGAACTCATACAGGAATTCAGTAAAGTGACAGGATATAAAATCAATGCACAGAAGTCAGTGGCATTCCTATACACCAACAACAAGACAGAAGAAAGAGAAATTAAGGAGTCGATCCCATTTACAATTGCACCGAAAACCATAAGATACCTAGGAATAAATCTAACCAAAGAGACAAAGGATCTGTACTCAGAAAACTATAAAATACTCATGGAAGAAATTGAGGAAGACACAAAGAAATGGAAAAATGTTCCATGCTCATGGATTGGAAGAACAAATATTGTGAAGATGTCAATGCTACCTAGAGCAATCTACACATTCAATGCAATCCCCATCAAAATACCATCCACTTTTTTCAAAGAAATGGAACAAAGAATCCTAAAATTTGTATGGAACCAGAAAAGACCCCACATAGCCAGAGGAATGTTGAAAAAGAAAAGCAAAGCTGGCGGCATCACAATTCCGGACTTCCAGCTCTATTACAAAGCTGTCATCAAGACAGCATGGTACTGGCACAAAAACAGACACATAGATCAATGGAACAGAATAGAGAGCCCAGAAATGGACCCTCAACTCTATGCTCAACTCATCTTTGACAAAGCAGGAAAGAATGTCCAATGGAACAAAGACAGTCTCTTCAACAAATGGTGTTGGGAAAATTGGATAGCCACATGCAGAAGAATGAAACTGGACCATTTCCTTACACCACACACAAAAATAGACTCCAAATGGTTGAAAGACCTCAATGTGAGACAGGAGTCCATCAACATCCTAAAGGAGAACACAGGCAGCAACCTCTTTGACCTCAGCCGAAGCAACTTCTTCCTAGAAACATCGCCAAAGGCAAGGGAAGCAAGGGCAAAAATGAACTATTGGGACCTCATCAAGATAAAAAGCTTTTGCACAGCAAAGGAAACAGTCAACAAAACCAAAAGACAACTGACAGAATGGGAGAAGATATTTGCAAATGACAGATCAGATAAAGGGCTAGTATCCAAAATCTATAAAGAACTCATCAAACTCAACACCCAAAGAACAAAGAATCCAATCAAGAAATGGGCAGAAGATATGAACAGACATTTTTCCAAAGAACACATCCAAATGGCCAACAGACACATGAAAAAGTATTCAATATCACTCGGCATCAGGGAAATCCAAATCAAAACCTCAATGAGATACCACCTCACACCAGTCAGAATGGCTAAAATTAACAAGTCAGGAAACGACAGATGTTGGCGGGGATGCGGAGAAAGGGGAACCCTCCTATACTGTTGGTGGGAATGCAAGCTGGTGCAGCCACTCTGGAAAACTGTATGGAGGTTCCTCAAAAAGTTGAAAATAGAGCTACCATATGATCCAGCAATTGCACTACTGGGTATTTACCCCAAAGATACAAAAGTAGGGATCCGAAGGGCTATGTGCACCCCGATGTTTATAGCAGCAATGTCCACAATAGCCAAACTGTGGAAAGAGCCAAGATGTCCATCAACAGATGAATGGATAAAGAAGAAGTGGTATATATATACAATGGAATATTATGCAGCCATCAAAAGGAATGAGATCTTGCCATTTGCAATGACGTGGATGGAACTGGAGGGTATTATGTTGAGTGAAATAAGTCAAACAGAGAAGATATGTATCATATGATCTCACTGATATGAGGAATTCTTAATTGTAGGAAACAAACTGAGGGTTGCTGGAGTGGGGGGTGGGGTGGGAGGGATGGGGTGACTGGGTGGTAGACACTGGGGAGGGTATGCGCTCTGGTAAGCGCTGTGGATTGTGCAAGACTGTTGAATTTCAGATCTGTACCTCTGAAACAAATAATGCAATATATGTTAAGAAAAAAACAAAAAGAAAAAGAAGAAGGTAGTGGGAGGGGAAGAATGAAGTGGGGGAAATCGAAGGGGTAGACGAACCATGAGAGACGATGGACTCTGTAAAACAAACAGGTTTCTGGAGGGGAGGGGGGTGGGAGGATGGGTTAGCCTGGTGGTGGGTATTGAGGAGGGCACATTCTGCGTGGAGCACTGGGTGTTATGCGCAGTGAATCATGGAATACTTCATCTAAAACTAATGATGTAATGTATGGGGATTAACATAAGAATAAAAAATAAATAAATAAAGATGTGACAGTGGCTAAATCTAACAAGGTAAAATTTAACAGAAATAAATGTAAAGTTATGTATTTGAGTCTAAAACCTACACAAATTGAAAGAGATAAGACTTATTTTGTTTATGTGACCAAAAGAATTCTCCAGCTTATTGCCTCAAAGAAATAAATTTAAAAAGAGATATGATCGATGTTTCCATATTAAAATAAAAAATAATTATGTATGAAAGATTCTATTTATTCTGTGTTATCTGTACAACAAAACTAAGACAAGTGAGTAGAATTTAAAGGGATAAAGAATGGGCTAAATAAAAAGCAAAGTTTTCTAATAGCCCAGATTTTCAAAAATAGCATTTTTAAAGAGGTAATGAGTTCCCCTTCACTGGAATTGTTCAAGCTGAAGATTAATAATGAGGTATGATAAATTTAATAACCATATATCTGCATTAGTTTAGGAATGGCTTAATTCAATAAAGAATTAGATACACTCTAGGATTTGACTAATTCAAGAAACTTTCTGAAAACAATAACCTTTTTATATGTGACAAGACTTCTATTTTGAATAGAATGATTTTAAGGCAAGAGTAGCTAACGGCCCAAGCAATTAGGGATAATAAAATCCCATTATGATAATTCATGTTTCTATGACTCAACTGAGCTGTAAAACAAATTTTCTGGCATAAATATTACATAAAAAACAGAGGTCATCTCACAAAAAAGTCATAAATAATAGCAACTTAGTCAACTGTAATGAGAAAGTCATATACATAATATTTTGTACTTCTCTCTCTCTTTTTTTTTTTTTTAAGATTTGGGAAGTACTTTATTTGATCATGTGACACCATATAACAACCAGATTTACAGAAGCCTAACCACAGTATAGATTTGAATAGGGACGATGCCTCAGAAATAGCAGTCTTAGTGATTCAAGTACTGACCTTTATTTGATAAAGGAAAACAGTTTTGATGACTAATTTACCAGAGTTTTAAAATGCAATTTTATACAGTTGTTTTTTTTTTTTTTAAGATTTTATTTATTTGACAGAGAGAGACACAGTGAGAGAGGGAACACAAGCAGGGGGAGTGGGAGAGGGAGAAGCAGGCTTCCCACCAAGCAGGGAGCCCGATGCAGGGCTCGATCCCAGGACCCCGGGATCATGACCTGAGCCGAAGGCAGACGCTTAACGACTGAGCCACCCAGGCGCCCCTACAGTTGTTTTCTTAAAAGAACTACTGTTTTGAACCACAATAAACAAGGTACAGTTTATTCACATAAAGAAACTGCCATTGAAAACATGTTTAAAAATTCCCATCTCACTCCATTTTTCGCTTCTCAGCACTGCAATGCTTCATTCCATCATCATGCTGAATTCCTCAGCATCTTCCATACCATTTCCAAGGGAATCCCTGGGAAGTAGCAAATGTCTGCCTTCCTTTAGAAAGACACAGATAACCTGGAATTTTTCTTACCACATGCTCCAATGTTCCTACAACTTGCACTTTCTGCTCTTCTGAAATAAGCTTCTTTTTGGCACAGCAGAAAAAACATGGCACGAGGAATCTGAAAACCTAGATTCTGGGCCCAGCTATGTCATAAGAGAATAATCCTAAACAAGTCATGAAACTTCCCCAGCCCTCTGTTCTTAACTGCAAAAAATAAGTCATATTCTTTCAGTCCTTTATTATCATTTATCCTCACAGTAACCGTTAGATTTAAATAAGGCAGCATTATACTCATTTCATAGAGGAAATTCAGTCTCAAAGAGGTTACACAATCTACTCAAGATCCCACAGGTGGTAATAAGACAACATACACATCTTTTAGTAGTGACAGCAAGATCGCATAGGTGTTAATAAGACACAGCTAAACTTAGATGATCTCACTCAAGACCCTAGTACTGGTACACACTGTACTCATAAGTTGGTTCAATGGATGAAGCAGCAGTTTCCCAGGTCCCTTCCAATATTCAAATTTTAAACTTCTTGCAATTTTTTCCTCCCTTTCAACCAGCATTTAAATTAGAAAGCATATATATAGTTCATCACTAAATTTCATTTACCATGGTTCTGTGATTTAACCCTTCTTTATAATTTTCTTATATTTCTATATTAAATCCAGAGAAGTGACTTTTTTTTCTGATAGCTCCCACAACTGCCTGCCTCTCTGAAAGCTTTTGGATCTACCTGTTGTCAAAACAGAGATTGCTAAAATTTTGTAAATACCAATTCCTTTTTATAATTTTAAGAAGTCATTCCATACTTAAATAAAACAGTTCAAAACAAGAGAAGTCCTCGCTCTTATTCCCTGTAATAATAAAATGTACTTTCTATTGATTTTGTATCCACTTTCCTGTCTGCTTTCTTTTGGGAAATACTGTTATCCTACCTCGCTGTCAAGTCTCCCTCTCCCTAACAAGAAAATACCGCAGTCCTAAGAGTTAGGAAACCTCTTACTTTCACAATTCCATAGGAAGAATAAATTAACCACCTAAATTGGATGGCGAAACTTTGAATGTTAAATGAGAGATTTGGGACATTTCCCAAGAGGCCATATGACCAGTCTAAAAGCTGATGATATGATTTGCCTAAAATTACACTTTAAGTTTTTTATCATAAATTTATATATGTGCTGATTAGTCTTGCTGATATTACCTATGACCATATACCTAAACCAAATTAAACTTCACAAGAAACAAAATTCATTCTATCAGCAATCCTGAAAATTCAGCAAAACCCAATAAATCGTACGCTCTCTCAAGAAGGGAGCTTTAAACATTCAGTAATTTGTATAATTTAACATGCTGAAAATGAGAAACTAAACAGGGCATGGGAACGGGGACTACATACAGGAAAAGTAATTTCAAAATTTTCTTCATTTTGATGGTATCACTTTCTTGTCTTCAGGAGGGAAGATTCTGACTTCAAAAGTAACAAAATATTTGAGAAGGGATTTTACATCTTTCTGTTCTAGATAGTATTCTTCTGCTATTTTCTCAGCAGTCCATGTTTCTGGATAAAGTTTATAATTATTGAGAAGTGTCAATGCCTCTACAATGGAAATTTTGCCTTTGGGAATGTTCTTGATACTCATCATGTTAAAGTCACGGCCTTTTGCCAATCTGAACTCCTTTGGCTCTTGACGTGTTCCACCATCTTTTACCTGCAGAGAAGACACCGGATCTTTGGAATCAACATACACATCTTTTAGTAAAGACAGCAGTTTGTCATCTTTTCTAGCAATTTCTTCCTTAATTTCTGGATGGCAGCTCATCTGTCTCGCAGGAGGCTCTTGGTGGAGGGGTGCCTGGGAGCCGGAAAGGGCTTCATCTTGCTGATTTCCAGTTCCGCCTGGCTCTCTAGGTTGAAATTCCTGATTGCGCGAGACACCGAGGCCCCCATCTCCTTACAACATGATGTCCTCTGCTTCTTGCTGCACGTGGGAAAAAACCTTTGTACTTCTCTTTTAAATTGCTCTTAAGAAAAGTGATTGTATGGTGACTAACATAACATAATAAAATTAAAAAAATAAAATGTTTCATTTGCCACACATCAAAAAAAAATAGTGATAGTAAAAATAACACTAGGGAATTCAGTGTCTTTCTTCAATGACTTATAAAATCTGTCTCGGTTTACTAGTAAAAAAAATATTTTATACTTAAAGTGCAGTGCAAAAAACCTTGATTTTCATATTGCAGTATCTACATTTTTTTCTCTCTCTTTTAGAAAAGCAATGAAATTCAAATTCCCACCCCTGGAATATAGCTGCCACTTTTTAAATTGAAGTAAAATTCACATAATGAAAATTCACCATTTTGAAGTGTTCAGTTAAAAAAAAAGACAAAATAAAAAATAAAGTGTTCAGTTCAAGTGGCTTCTAGACTTTCACAGTGTTGTACAGTTATTACCACTACCTAATTCCAGAATATTTTTTTCATCCCCCCCCCCCCAAAACAACCCATACCCATTAAGCAGTCATTTTCCATTCATCCTTCCTTCCAACCTTAGTGATCACTAATTTGTTTTCTGTCTTTATGGATTTGCCTATTCAGGATATTATATACAAATGGAATCACATATGTGGCTTTTTGTGTCTGACTTATTTCCCTTAATATATTTTTTTAAAGGTTCATCCATGTTGTAGCATGTATCAAATATTTCATTCCTTCCTGTGATTAAATAACATACCATTGTATAGATATACTACATTTTCTTCATCCATTCATCAGTTTATGGACGTTTGAATTGTTTCTACATTTTTGTTATGGTAAATAGTACTATTATGTACTATTATAAGTTTTTTTTTTTTTTTGAAGATAGGTTTGTAATTCTTGGGGACTATATAAGTTTTATAAGACTGCTGTAACAAAGTACTACAAACTGGGTGGCTTAAGCAATAAATTTTTTTTCTTAAAATTCTGGAGGCTAGATGTCAGTGATCTAGGTATCATCAGACTTGGTTCCTTTTGAGGGTTATGAGGAAGAATCTATTCCATGATTCTTTCCTAGTTTCTGGTGGTCTGGCAATCTTTGGCATTCCTTAGCTTGTAGAAACATCACTCCAATCTCTTCCTTCATTTCACATGTTATTCTCCCTGTCTGCTTGTCTGTGTCCAAGTTTTCCCTTCTTATAAGGATACAAGTCATATTGGTTTAGGACCCATTTTAACTTGGTTACATCTGTACAAACCTTTTCTCCAAATAAGGTCACATTCTGATGTACTGGGGGTTAAGACTCCAACATAAGTACATACTTAGGAGTAGAATTTCTGATTTATATGTTAATTCTGTGTTTAACTTTTTAATGATTCAGCAGCAATGTATGAAAATTTTAAGTTTTTCATGTTGTCAACACTTAGGACTTTTCTTTTTTAAAAAAATTATAGCCATTCCATATTTGTCACTTTTTATAACATTACATATAGATGAAATTCAAATATTCATACAGATGATAAAGTTAATATATCATCATCAATAGTGGAAACATATAGAAACCAATAGTGACTAGCACATTCTTCTCTGAACATCAATATTTTTCAGACTCTTCTATGCATAGATTAGTGTACAGAAAATAGACTTACACTTATTTTTTACAGTATAAATACATCATTGGATGGTTAGAAATAATTACCAATAAAATTATTACTCATTTAAAAATTATTTCACTGTAATTTCTTTGAAAAATCTTGTAATATGGGGTTTTCTATGTGAAAATATATCATTAATATCAATTTTTTATAAAGATTTTTATTTATTTATTGAGAAAGAGAGAATGATAGAGAGAGAGCATGAGAGGGTGGAGGGTCAGAGGGAGAAGCAGACTCCCTGCTGAGCAGGGAGCCTGATGTGGGACTCGATCCTGGGACTCCAGGATCATGACCTGAGCCGAAGGCAGTTGCTTAACCAACTGAGCCACCCAGGCTCCCTAATATCAATTTTTGAGTGTGGATTTCCATCTAATTTTTAGAAGGGTACTGAAAAGCCTAATTAATTTCTCCCCCAGATCTCATTTAAGCTGTGCTAATGGGTCTTCTCCTATTATACAAAATTGATACAAGTAATGTGAAAGTTAAGAGCATTTCTCTTTAATCCTTGAATAAGAATTATGACAATGGGGAACAACAAGATGTTTGTATTAACATAAATAGTACTGTAATAGTAATAAAACACAATGTATGAGAAAGTAGACAAGTCAGAACTTGGTTCATGATTCTCAGTACTCTACCCTATTAATATACCATATTTTATGCCCAGCTTTACAGTTAACAAATAGATAAAAGCAATATTTCAATCTATATACAGCAAACCTACTTGCATGTAAATTTGCACACCACATCTTCTTTATCCATTCATCCATCAATAGACCTCTGGGCTCTTCCCATATTTAGGCAATTGTGGACATTCTGCTATAAACATTGGGGTGCATGTGCCACATAGAAACACTTTTTATGTGTCCTTTGGATAAATACCTAGTAGTGCAATTGCTGGGTCACAAGGTAGTTCTATTTTTAACTTTTTGAGGAACCTCCATACTGTTTTCCAGAGTGGCTGCACCAACCTGCATTCCCAAAAAACAGTGTAAAAGTGTTCCCCTTTCTCTGCATCCTCACCAACATCTGTTGTTTCCTGAGTTCATTTTTGCCATTCTAACCGGTGTGAGGTGGTATCTCATTGTGGTTTTGGTTTGTATTTCCCTGATGCCAAGTGATGTTGAGCACTTTTTCATGTGTCTGTTAGCCATTTGCATGTCTTCCTTGGAGAAATATCTGTTCATGTCTTCTGCCCATTTCTTGACTGGATTTTGTTTTGTTTTGTTTTTTGGGTGTTGAGTTTGATAAGTTCTTTATAGATTTTGGATACTAGACCTTTATCTGATAAGACATTTGCAAATGTCTTCTCCCATTCCATAGGTTGCCTTTTAGTTTTGTTGACTGTTTCCTTTGCTGTGCAAAAGATTTTTATCCTGATGAAGTCCCAATTGTTCATTTTTGCTTTAGTTTCCCTTGTCTCTGGAGACGTGTCTAGCAAAAAGTTGCAACAGCCAAGGTCAAAGAGATTGCTGCCTGTATTCTCCTCTAGGATTTTGATTGTTTCCTGTCTCACATTTAGGTCTTTCATCCATTTTGTATTTATTTTTGTGTATGGTGTAAGAAAATGGTCCGGTTTCATTCATCTGCATGTGGCTGTCCAGTTTTCCCAACACCATTTGTTGAAGAGAGTGTCTTTTTACAATTGGATATTTTTTCCTGCTTTGTCAAAGATTAGCTGACCATACAGTTGTGGGTCCATATCTGGATTCTTTATTCTGTTCCATCGATCTATGTGTCTGCTTTTGTGCCGGAACCATCCTGTCTTGATGATTACAGCTTTGTAATACTGCTTGAAGTCCGGGATTGTGATGCCTCTTGCTTGGCTTTTCTTTTTCAACATTATTTTGGCTATTTGGGATCTTCTGCAGTTCCATACAAATTTTAGGATTGTTTATTCTAGCTCTGTGAAAAATGCTGTTGTTATTTTTATCAGGATTGCTTTGAATGTGTAGATTGCCTTGGGTAGCATAGGAATTTTAACAATATTTGTTTTTCCAATCCATGAGCCCGGAATGTATTTCCATTTCTGTGTGTCTTCTTCAGTTTCTTTCATAAGTGTTCTATAGTCTTCAGCATACAGATCTTCTACCTCTTTGGTTAGACTTGTTCCTAGGTATCTTAAGGTGTTTGATGCAATTGTAAATGGGATCAATTCATTGATTTCTGTTTCTGCTGCTTAATTATTGGTGTATAGAAATGCAATGGATTGCTGTACATTGATTTTATATCCTGTGACTTTACTGAATTCATGTATCAGTCCTAGCAATTTTTTGGTGGAGTCTTTGGGTTTTTTACATAGAGTATCATGTTGTCTGCAAAGAGTGAAAGTTTGACTTCTTCCTTGCTTATTTGGATGTCTTTTATTTCTTTTTTGTTGTCTGATTGCTGAGGCTAGGATTTCCAGTACTATGTTGAACAACAGTGATAGTGAAATATGACTCAGCTATTAAAAAGAATGAAATATTGCCATTTGCAATGATGTGAATGGAACTAGAGTGTATTATGCTAAGCGAAATAAGTCAGTCAGAGAAAGACAAGTACCATATGACTTCACTCATATGTGGAATTTAAGAAACAAAACAGATGAACATAGAGGAAGGGAAGGAAAAAAATAAAATATGATTAAAAACAGAGGGAGAGGCTAACCAGGAGACTCTTAACTATAGGGAGCAAACTGAGGGTTGCTGGAGAGGAAGTGGATGGGGGATGGGGTAATTTGCTGAAGGGCATTAATGAGGACACTTGAAGTAATAAGCACTGGGTGTCATATGCCACTGATGAATCACTAAACTCTACCCTCCTACTAACAATACACTCTATGTTAAATGACTTTAATTTAAAAAAAATGTTGAAGATGCCATAAGGAAATGGAAATATTTATCTTGATAAATTTGTCTGCAATATTTGATTCTGTAAAGACTACACTTTCTCCTTATACTGTAGAAGTAGTCTGTGTTAGCATCAAAGATAATGTCCAATATATATTTAAGAAAATAGATATAACTTCTCGGGGTGCCTGGGTGGCTCAGTTGGTTAAGCAGCTGATTTTTTTTTTTAGATTTTCAATCAATATTTATTGAATAAATGAATAAACTGTTTTGTCAAAGATAAAATTTGAAACCCAGAAATCCCCTTTCCCAAATCGCAAGGTACAACACTTGTATGTGTGCATAAGATGATATGTAAAGCCTGTCAAACAGCTGACTCTTGATTTTGACTCAGGTCATGATCTCATGGGCCATGAGACTGAGCCCTGTGACAGGCTCCACACTCAGAGGAGAGTCTGCTTGATGATTCTCTCCCTCTGCTCTTCCCCCCACT